GTTTTGGTTTATTAGGGCGTTTCCAGTCAACTTTGCCCAAAACTTCATTGGGATTTTGTTTGTTGGCCTTCGTTAGTGCGTTTCCAATCAAATTTGGCTAAAATTTTCACTGAGTTTGGTTCATTGGCACGTTTACAATGAAATTAGATTTAACTTTCACATGGCTTTGGCTCATTGGCACATTTCGATTCAAATTTGACTACAATTTCGTGCGGGTTTTTAGGTCGGCACTTTCCAATCAAATTTGACTGAAATTTCACAAAGGTTTGGTTCATTAATGCTTTCCCAATCAAATTTGACTAAAACATCATCGGGATTTAGTTTTTTAGCATGTTTCTAGTCGAATTTGACTAAAATTTCACCAGGAATTTTTTTCATTCGTCCATTTCAAATCAAATTTGACCAAAATTTCTTCTGAATTTTGTTCATTGGCACGTTTTCAATCAAATTTGACTAAAATTTCACATGACTTTGGTTTATTGGCTCATTTCAAATCAAATTTGACCAAAATTTCTTCTGAATTTTGTTCATTGGCACGTTTTCAATCAAATTTGACTAAAATTTCACATGACTTTGGTTTATTGGCTCATTTCAAATCAAATTTTACTACAATTTCATGCGGGTTTTTTCATTGGTAAGTTCCAAATCAAATTTGACTAAAATTTCACAAAGGTTTAGTTTATTAGGGCATTTCCAGTCAAATTTGCCTAAAACTTCATCGGGATTTTGCTCGTTGGCATGTTTCTATTGAAATTCGACTTAAATTTCACTAGAATTTTGTTCGTTCGTGTGTTTCAAATCAAATTTGACTAAAATTTTATCTGAATTTTGTTCATTGGTGCATTTTCAATTAAATTTGACTAAAATCTCACATGATTTTGGTTCATTGGCACATTTCGAATCAAATTTGACTTAAATTTCATGCGACTTTTCATTGGCACATTTCCAATCAAATTTAAATAAAATTTCATTTGGGTTTGGTTCATTAGCGTATATCAAATCAAATTTGACTAAAATTTCATCAATGTTTCGTTCATTGGCGTGTATGTCGTTGGTGCGATTCCCATCAAATTTGACTAAAATTTCACGTAGGTTGGATTCATTGACATGGTTCCAATCAAATTTGACTAAAATTTCTAATGACTTGGTTCTTTGGCACATTTCGAATCAAATTTGACTTAAATTTTATGCTCCTTTTCATTGTCGCAATTCCAATCAAATTTGACAAAAAAATTCACTAGGTTTCGTTCATTGGCATTTATCAAATCAGATTTGACTATAATTTCACTAGGATTTCGTTCATTGGAATGTATCAAATCAAATTTAAATAAAATTTCATTTGAATTGTGGTTGGTGGCACGTTTTCCATCAAATTTGACTAAAATTTCACATGACGTTGAATAAAATTTTCATGCAGGTTTTTTCGTTGGCGCGTTTCCAATCAAATTTGACTAAAATTTTACTAGGATTTAGTTCGTTGGCATGTTTCGAATCAAATTTGACCAAAATTTTACCAGGATTTTGTTCGTTACAGCATTTCCAATCAAATTTGACTAAAATTTCGCCTGAATTTTATACATTGGCGTGTTTTCAATCAAATTTGACTAAAATTTTGTTTGAGTTTGGTTCGTTGGTGCGTTTCCAATCAATTTTGACTAAAATTTCACCAGGGTTTCATTTATTGGTGTGTATCAAATCAAATTTGACTAGAATTTCATCTAAATTTTGTTCGTTGGCGCATTTCCCATCAAATTTGACTAAAATTTCACCATAATTTAGTTCATTGGCGTGTTTCTAATCAAATTTGACTAAAATTTCATTAAAATTTTGTTCGTTAGTGCGTTTTTCATAAAATTCGACTAAGATTTCATCTTAATTTTGTTCATTGGTACGTATCCAATCAAATTTGACTATAATTTCACATGGGCTTGGTTCATCGACGCGATTCCAATCAAATTTGACTAAAATTTCGTTTGAGTTAGGTTCGTCGGCGCGTTTTCAGTCAAATTTGACAAAAATTTCATATGACTTAGGCTCATTAGCGCAATTCCAATCAAATTTAACAAAAATTTCACCAGGGTTTCGTTCATTGGTGTGTATTAAATCAAATTTGACTAGAATTTCATCTGAATTTTGTTCGTCGTCGCATTTCCCATCAAATTTGACAAAAATTTCACATGAGTTTGGTTCACTGGCGCGTTTCCAGTCAAATTTAACTAAAATTTCACCGTGATTTAGTTCATTGGCGTGTTTCTAATCAAATTTGACTAAAATTTCATCAGAATTTTGTTCGTTGGTGCGTTTCTCATCAAATTCGACTAAGATTTCATCTGAATTTTGTTAATTGGTGCGTATCCGATCAAATTTGACAATAATTTCACATGAGTTTGGTTCATCGGCGGGATTCCAATCAAATTTGACTAAAATTTCACAAGAATTTTTTTAGTTAGAGCATTTCCAATCAAATTTGAATAAAATTTCATCCAAATTTTGTTCATTGGTGCGTTTTAAATAAAATTTGACTAAAATTTCACTTGAGTTTGGTTCATTGGCGTGTTTTCAATCAAATTTGAATAAAATTTCAAATGACTTTGGTTCATTGGCATAATTCCAATCAAATTTGACTAAAATTTCACATGAATTTTGTTAATTGGCGTGTATCAAATCAAATCTGACTAAAATTTCACCAGGGATACATTCATTGGCGTGTATCAAAAAAATTTAACTAGAATTTCATCTAAATTTTGTTTATTGGGGCGTTTCATATCAAATTTGACTAAAATTTCACAGTAATTTAGTTCTTTGGCGTGTTTCTAATTAAATTAGATAAAACTTCATCAGAATTTAGTTCGTTAGTGCTTTTTTCATCAAATTCGATTAAGACTTCATCTGCGTTTTGTTCATTGGCGCGTTTTCAATCAAATTTGACTAAAATTTTACATGATTTTGGTTTTTTGGCACATTACGAATCAAATTTAACTAAAATTTCATGCGGCTTTTCATTGGCGCATTTTCAATCAAATTTGACTAAAATTTTACTTAGATTTCGTTAATTGGGGTGTATCAAATCAAATTTGACTAAAATTTCACCAAGGTTTCGTTCATTGACGTGTAACAAATCAAAATTGACTAAAATTTCACCTGAGTTGTGTTCAATGGCACGTTTCCCATCAAATTTGACTAAGATTTCACATGAGTTTGGTTCGTTGGAGCGTTTTCAATCAAATTTGACTACAATTTCACATGGTGGTTCATTGGCATGATTCCAATCAAATTTGACCAAAATTTCACCAAGATTTTGTTCATTAGAGCATTTCCAATTAAATTTGCCTAAAATTTCATCTGAATTTTGTTTATTAGTGCGCTTCCAATCAAATTTGACTAAAATTTCATTTAGGTTTCGTTAGTTGAAGTGTATCAAATCAAATTTGACAAAAATTTAACTAAGGTTTCATTCATTGGCACGTATCAAATCAAATTTGACAAGAATTTCACCTAAATTTTGTTCGTTGGTGCGTTTCCCATCAAATTTGACTAAAATTTCATATGACTTCGATTCATTGGAGCAATTCCAATAAAATTGAACTAAAACTTCACTTGGGTTTCATTAATTGGCGTGTATGAAATCAAATTTCACTAAAATTTCACCAGGGCTTCATTCATTGGAGTGTATCAAATCAAATATTACTAGAATTTCATCTGAATTTTGTTTGTTGGCGTGTTTCCCATCAAATTCAGCTAAACTTTCACTTGGGCTTAGTTCATTGGCGCGTTTCCAATCAAATTTGACTAAAATTTCACCGTGATTTAGTTCATTGGCATCTTTCTAATCAAATTTGACTAACATTTGACTAGAATTTTTTTTGTTAGTGCATTACACATAGAATTCGACTAAATTTCATCTTGATTTTGTTCATTGGCACGTTTTTAATTAAATTTGACTAAAATTTCATATAATTTTGGTTCATTGGCACATTTCGAATCAAATTTGAGTCATGCGACTTTTCATTAACGCAATTCCAATCAAATTTGAATAAAATGTCACTTTGATTTCGTTTATAGACATGTATCAAATCAAATTTGACTAAAATTTTATCTGAATTGTGTTCGTTGGCGCGTTTTCCATCAAATTTGACAAAAATTTCACATGGCTTTGGTTCATTGGCACATTTCGAATCAAATTTGACTGTAATTTCATTTGAATTTCTTCTTGGCACGTTTCCAATCAAATTTGATTAAAATTTCACAAAGATTTGGTTCATTGGCGCGCTTCCAATCAAATTTGACTAAAACTTCACTGGGATTTTGTTCATTGGCATATTTCTAATGAAATTTGACTAAAATTTCACCAGAATTTTGTTCATTAGTGCGTTTTCAATCAAATTTGATTGGAATTTCATCTAAATTTTGATCATTGGCGCGTTTTCAATCAGATTTGACTAAAATATCACATGATTTTTCGTTCATTGGCGCGTTTTCAATCAAATTTGATTAAAATTTCACATGACTTTGGCTCATTGGCAAATATCGAATCAAATTTGACTACAATTTCATGCGTGTTTTTTGGTTGGCATGTTTCCAATCAAATTTGACTAAAATTTCACAAGGGTTTGGTTCATTGACGCGTTTCCAATCAAATTTGACTAGAATTTCACACGACTTTCGTTCATGGAACATTTTAAATCAAATTTGACAAAACTTTCATCTGAATTTTTTTCATTGGCGCGTTTTCAATCAAATTTGACTAAAATTTCACATGACTTTGGTTTATTGGCACATTTCGAATCAAATTTGACTAAAACTTCATGCGAGTTTTTCATTGGCACGTTTCTCATCAAATTTGACTAAAATTTCATAAGGGTTTGGTTCATCGACTTTCAACACTTGCAGCTGCCACAGGTAATATCAAAACCAAGGTGATCAGCTTATAAACCAATGGAAAACAACAAAAACTTTTAGTTTCAACCAACTTCCGAGCTATACAAGATATGCTATTGAGATTAAAGAGCTTCATCCATTCTCACAAGCATAAGAAACTTGTCAAGTTGAGGTCTAAGTAATAAAAGATCTTCATTATTGGAGACCAAAGGATAGAACTGAGCAAGATGTAGCAATTTAGCCTTATCAAAAGCTGCAAATGAATCTCTTGGACTTAAACACGAAATGCAACTAAAGAGCTCAATAGTTGTTTCTGGAAAACGATCATTCAACTCTTGCAAGATTAAGTCTATCACATGACAATACAAATCAACATAAAAATGATGATAATAAGTCACCTGCTGAGCTGCATGCCTAGGTTGACCTTTCACTACCACAATATTCTCCATATCGGGCACTAAAATATGTCTATCAACACAAAACTCAATCACCCTACTCAACAAAATATCCCAATCATTGTCTTTCGGGTTCTGCAATGCACACTTACACAAATTAAATAACCTCATAGCACTATGAATATCCTTATCCTTTTTCTGTAAGGCTTGTGAAAGATCGTCTATAATTGCAAGAATTTCAAACATAAAGTAGAGATTGAACACAAATTTAAAATCCTTATTTCTTGAAACTGACCAGTTTCACCTGAAAGTTTCCCGATATTAAGCCTTTCTAGAAAATTAGAATGATAACTTGTTCGATGAGCATCTATATGCTTACATGATGCACCAACCAAATTTACAATAATAGCAACCATGTTGAAAAATTCAGAAAGCATAAAATTTCTGCGTGACACAGTAACAACTGCCAACTGAAGTTGGTGAGCAAAACAATGAACATACATAGCATGTGGGTTCTTTCTTAGAATTAAAGCTTTCAATCCATTGAACTCACCTGACATATTACTTGCTCCATCATAACCTTGACCTCCCAGGTTAAATATGCTCAACCCATGTGTAGAAAATATTGCATCAATGGCATCCTTCAGTGATTGGACACAAGCATTGGTGACACGGGAAATGCCCCCAAAAATGCTACTTTACTTGCCCACTTTTATCAACAAACCTCAAAACAACTGTCATTTGTTCTTTCATAGAAATATCACAAGCCTCATCAACCAAAATTGAAAATAAAGAATCGCCTATGTCATTGACAATAGCCCTTGTCATCTCTACGGCAAAACAATTAACCAAATCTTTTTGGATGTTTGGTGAAGTCATTTGGTCTTTTCCAGGAGAATTACTAAATAATACTTCTTTAACTTCCTTTTAACGAGCTGCATACTAGTTCATTAGCTCAATTAGATTTCCTCTATTAAGAGACTCTTTCAATTCATCATGACCATGAAATAACAATCTTTGCATCAAGAGGAGTCTAGTACAATCTAGTACTGCAATCAACCTGGTCCTATAACTTTGTTGTTAACTGCTGCTTTGGCTAGAAATAACACAAGAGATACTTTGCTTTTGATTCATCAAATTGGTATACTTTACAAAAGCTTGATTATGAACGCTATCAAAGAGATAGATATGTTCTTTCAATGTCCTTTTGTGCTTCCAATCCCTATAGTCGATCTTAGTAAATATATGTCCACTCCCTTGACCTCCTCCTATCGAGTTTGAACATGTAGCAATGCAAACAATACGTTGCATCCTTTTCTATACGATATTCCAGCTATAAAATTCGAAGAACCATTCTTTTCAAAAACATCTATTATCATTTCTCATCGATCTTATTGGAAAATCATGCCCGTATGGTTGACAAGGACCCTTCTCCAAGTATGTTATCCTAACATCATCTCTAATATTATGATCATATGACTCGATAGCGGGCCATATCCGTGGATCAGATACAAGATCATCCACATTGAATTGAGCTCGACACTTCTTTGTATTATTCAATAACTCTTGTGCTCGACTAGAATCAATGGGGGGCCTAGATGCACAACTAGACCTCGAAGAATTGGGTATGGACTTCCGTTCGGTTGAAAAAAATCGTTTCATAATCTGCAAAATGCCTCAATTTATTTTTCAATTACAATTGATTAAAAAAATAACCAAGTACACGTGGGTTGAATTGAGCGGCCAATATCTTCTTAATTAAATTTTTTCACCTATCCTAATTTCCCATACGTAAATTTCCAGATCAATAATCATAACTCACAAAACATCAATTACTTATCATAAATCACAATTTACAAACATAAATTTCCAAATTAATAATCATTCCTCATCAAAACATAAATTACTTATCATAAATCACAATTCGTATATATAATTTCGTAAACATAAATTCCTAAATCAATAATCATAACTCATGATTAAAAGTAAATTACTTATCACAATTCATAAATTACAATTCGCAAACATAAATTTCCAAATGAATAAATCATTACATAATTAACATGAAGTTACTCAAATAACTCAATATTCAACATCAACAACTCCAAGTCAAGTAGACCGTTGGCACTTGGTTGCGGGCTTTGGGAATGATGCCTCTTCTTTAATGGAGTCTACGGTCTGCGTCAATGCCTAGAGCTAGGTCGTGTGGATTGGAAAAAGAGGAAGTGATAAAAAGGGTTTGACAATTTAGGGGAATTGGATTTGGGCATTTCACATTTGGATTCTTTGCTGCTTAGACGACTGAAAATGGTTTGATAAATTGGATAATTTTTTAATATAAGGTGACAATTGTGCTAAACAATAAGAGGCCCAAAATTCGCAACTTCACTGAAGCCCAAACAAAAAAAGGGCCTTTCATCTTCGTCTTCCTTCTACAAACTCCGACGCGGTTTGCAACTGTTGCAACGGTGAACTACCTGATTGCTAGTTGCTATCTGACGATTCTACAAATTCCAACAGAGCTAGCACTCGCGGTCGCGCCCCCTCGCCGAGTTCTGGCTCCACGCCGGTTAAAAATTATAAAGAATTGATAGAATATGAACAATATTTGAGAGAAATCTCTCCAAGGAGAAAATGCTTCTAGGGTTAAATACTCATCCCTAATTAGAGAAACCAAGTAACGCATTTTGAAAGCTCCAATTTGTTATTAACACTTGTTTAAAAACACGTTTAAGTAAGGATTCCGGAAGCTTTAAAAAATATCAAAACATGTGGAAGGGGGTCAATTACACGAATCAAGCTATTGGGCTAAGAATCTAGAAACCTAAATTACTTCATAATCTCCACTTTTGTTGAAATTTGAGACTACACCAAATTGCATTCAAGTTAGACCAATATAACTTCATACACTCACTTACCCCTTTTCAGAATACCAATAGTATTAAAGGTTCAAGAGACTTGAACACCCTTGAATTTATTTAAATGAATTACCTTCATCCAGCATCAGTTAGATTGTATTTAGTTAGCATATTTGTTGAATTTATCAGTAATCATGCTAAGAATTGAGAATCACAAAATAATAATTATTAAATCGAATTCATACCTGCGAGAGCCATAGTTGATATGAATAATAGTAGCAAGATCTTTCACTCCTTACTCCTCACAAAGTATTAGTCGTCAATGAAGCAAGCTAATAAAAACAATATGAAGAGGAGAGAGAACCTAGCTCTTATATAGGAAATTATTGAATCGTCCCATTACGACTGAAACTCTAATTAGGGTTTATTTTCGGTTTACATACTTAAAATTACCACATCATATTAAATACAACTCGTAAGGGGTAAAAGGCCAAACTGATCACTTAATATATTTGGCACAATCACATATATCATTATGAGCTATACATCTAGCATGTAAAATACACAATCAAATGTCAAGCCCATATTTGGAATTATTCCAACAATATTAACTAATCTATATCATATTTTCAATTACATCTCTAATAAAATTATATTTAACATCTATATATTTTGTTCTATAATGAAATGTAGGATTTTTACTACTTATAAAAAGGACTTTGATTATCTGTCCAAAGCTCCATCAATTTATCATTTTCATGGCATGCTTCCTGATACCACTTGTATTATCATATTTCATATTCATCAATTTATCCATCAGATCCCCAGTTTCGACTTTATCAGACTCGATAAATTTTTCTCCTATGGTATCCATAAGACTTTTGGTATTTTCATTATCAAGGATGGCACAGAATATAAAGTCGTCAAATATATTATTGTTATTGTAATTTAAACGGGTCAATTTTAAATAAAACTTTAATTATGGTAAAAATTGAAATTTTAGTGTCAAACCCTTTAAAATCCAATTTCAAAATTCAAATTTAATAAAAATTACTTCTTACCCCTAGATTTAAATTAAAATTAGGTCCTCCATTATTTAAAATTGCGTGGCGGGTCCTTATTTTAGAAAATTACAACAGAACCCCAATTTCTAATTGCAAACAGCGGCTTAAAACTTTTCAAATTACAACATGACCCCCATCTCCCTTCTTCAGCCCAATTTCACAGAATTTTTTTTTTTTTTTTTTGCTCGCTGCCGGCGCCGAGAGAATGCGAGGAGCCACGATGGGAGACAATCATCTATGCAAAAAATCGACAGCAAAAATGGCAGTGATTCAGTTGCCTCACACAAATTCAACAACAATTTATTTCCCAATCAACTCATCAAAAGGAAAAGAAAAAAGAGGAAAGCCGACAACAACAATATATAAAAAGGAGAGAAAGAATCGATAGCCTAGTTAATAGCCAACTCCCCCTTTGCCGGTAGCGATCTCGTTCCTTCTATACCAAGCATATTATGCAACACACAATTCATCAATTTCACATAATTGCATTAAATTAACGTGTGAAAATGGCAACTTTGGGGCCCAAATTGGATCCGAAGCTTCCTATGTCGGCGGTAAGGGACAGGAAAGGTCCAGAAGGCATTGATTCTAGTTGGGCTGCAGTGGTACGGGCCATATGGTGCAGATGGATTTTGCAGATTAGGGGAAGGCCATGGGTGGTTTTTTATTTCTTTTCTTATATTTATACAATGAATGTATAATACACGTATATGAACAGAACACGTGAATTCAAATTTATTTATTTATTTATTTATTTTTTTTTGTTTTTTTGTTTTTTTTGAACTTTGAAAACTTAAGAATTCCAAAAACTTGAATTGACGGGTAGCAGATTTAGAATTATTTAGTCAAAGAGAGAATATTGTTTTAATGACATAAATCTTAACATTAGGCTCTAATACTAATTGTTGAAGTTATTTGTAATCATGCTAAAAATCGAAAACCACAAAATAATAATTACTAGATCGATCGAAAGCCATAGTTGATATAAATAATATCAGTCGGATCTTCCTTTTCTTACCGCTCACAAAGTATTAGCCGTCAATGGGACAAGTTGATAAAAACAATATGGAGAGGAGAGGGGACCTAGCTTTTATATAGGAAATTATTGAGCCACCCCATTATAACTGAAACTCTAATTAGGGTTTATTTTTGGCCCACATACTTAAAATTACCACATCATATTAAATACAGCCCGTAAGGTTTAAAAGGCCAAATTGATCACTTAATAAATTTGGCCCAATCATAAATATCACTATGTGTCATACATCTAACTCGTAAAATAAACAATCAAATGTGAAGCTCATATTTAGAATTATTTCAACAATATTATCTAATCCAATATCATATTTTTAATTATGTCTCTAATAAAATGATATTTAACATCTATATATTTTGTTCTATAATGAAATGTAGGATTTTTATTACTTATAAAAAGGACTTTGATTATCTATCCCAAGCTCCATCTCATTTTCTATCAATCTTAGTTCTTATAACAAACTTTTAATCGCAGTTATCCTTTAACCAGCTTCAGAAGCAGCATTGTGTTATACTTCCATAGATAATAAGGCAACCATATTTTTAAAATTGTGATTTTCAACTGATACAAGTTTCATTTCTCTCAAATACATATATAGTAATAGATTTCCTATTATCTGAGGTTTCAACGAAATCAAAGTCTACATATGGCCTTTAAGATTAAGTCCATTTTATTTATTTTAAACACCAAACCTAAGTTTTGTGTTCCTTTCAAATACTTAATCAATATTTGTCGTTGTTTCCCAATGAATCTCACTTGAATTACTCATAAATCTATTCAAAACACTAACGTTATATGCAATATCGGGTCTAATACCTTACATAATATAGGTTGTAGATTTCACAGCTCTTGGGTTAAAAATAATTTTCC